TTTAAAAAGAAACACATTTTGAAATTGAAGTTTGAAAAATGTTCATAGCTCTTCAGGGTTTCATCCATCTCCACAACATTTTACTGTAATTTGCTAAGCTAATAGTCTGTAACCTTCTTGTTGCTCAAGAATGAGTGTCTTCGGCCAAGGCTACTACATGATTATCCTTAACCAAACAGTATGAGTAAGTTTTAGACTAGCACTAGAACAGGGATTGTTGGCAGCTTCTGATTCAAGACCTTTATGCGTCTTTCGGTTGAACATTTAGCAAATGTTCCCCTTACAACATGGTGTCTGTTGTGGACATCTCTTATAACAATGAAACGCTGGGGTCAGCCTCAACGTACTCTGGGATTCCCACCATTCACTGACAGGTAGTTCCACACTAGAAAACTGAAGGCCAATCACATTGTGAGCATCTCTTAGTCCCAGCTGTGGCAGGTGAACGTAATGGATACCGTTGGGATTTTAACCAGTCCACACGCAAAAAAAAACCCGAAGATGTCTGTTTGATTTTGAGTAACTCTGGGGATTTTGTGCATGCAAGGCTGACAAACTTCACTGGAGCCAGGAGAGGGAGAAGGGTAGGAGGAATATTGTAGGGGTGCAATCCGGGTTAAAGAATCCAGGGGGAAGAGTCAAAGGGGGTGTGCCCCGGATTGGCACAAGGGACCCCCAAAAGTGTCCTGTCCAACAGCAGTTCACGCCATCAAAACTGCCAAGTGGTTCACCTTGATTCGGCCTTATCCCTCAGGCAGGGAAACTGAGGAGGAGGCACAATGAGGTCTTTAAATGGCAGTTGATGGTCCACCTAAGGGCCTCAATGGACCTAGGGGGACGTGGGCTACCTGATGCCTTACCCAAACCCCAGAACGTAAAGGTCAGATGGAGGTAGACAGGAAGGTAGCTTTATTTTATGTGTCACTCACCTTTGAATGCATTGGTGGGAGGTAATAAAATTCACCATATTTAAATTAGTATTGGATAATCACTGATTGTTTCAGTTCAACATATCTATACTGCAGTTATATAAGACGTTACATAAGGACGTTGGTGAGGCCACTTTTGGAGTACTGTGTACTGTTCTGGTTGCCCTGCTATAGGAAAGATATTATTAAATTGGAGAGGGTTCAGTAAAGATTTACCAGGATATTGCTGGATATGGTGGGTTTGAGTTAAATGGAGAGGCTGGGACTTTTTTCCACTGCAACGTAGAAGTTTGAGGAGTGACCTTATAGAGGTTTATAAAATCATGAGGGGTATAGATAAGGTAAATGCAAAGGTCTTTTCCCTCGAGTGTGGGAGTTCAAAACTAGAGGGCATAATTTTAATGTGAGAGGAGAAAGATTTAAAAGGGACCTGAGGGGTAACTTTTTCATACAGAGGGTGGTTGGTATGTGGATGAACTACCAGAGGAAGTGGTAGATGCAGGTACAGTTACATAATTTAAAATACATTTGCATATGAACATGGATAGGAAAGGTTTAGAGGGATATGGGGCAGATGCAGGCAAGTGATACGAATTTAGTTCGGGAAACTTTGTCAGCATGGACAAGTTGGACTGAAGGGTCTGTTTCTGTGCTGAATGACTCTATGACTCCAAGATAACAAATAGGAGCAAGAGTAGGTCATATGCACCCTCAAACTTGTTTTCCCATTCAGCAAGTTTGCAGCTAAACTTCTCTGTCAACTCTACTTTCCCACAATATCCCTATATTACTGACTGCCCCTGATGCCTAAAAACCTCTTCATCTCAGTATTGAATGTACTCAGCCCCTAACTATCCATAGGCCCCTGGGTTACAATTCCAAAAGTTTCACTCAGGGTAAGATCATATTTCAGTCATATATACCAAATCCCTTATTCTGAGATTAATGGCACACTTTAAGGAGTACAACAGTTTGAATAACCAGTGGGATGTGGTGTTGGCCAGTATGAGTTGTTTGCTCAACAAACTTGCGGTGGTCATGTCACAACAAAACAAATAAAACAAATGCACAGTCTTTTTAAAATAACTTTGAGGTTTCAAACCATCGGTAATCAAGACCAATACATTTCCACATCCTCCTACTTCTCCCGAACCAGAAGAATAGCTTCAAAAGAATTTTTCAAACCAACTGATCTGCAAAGCAAAGCTTTCTGTATCATGTCCTCAGGTAGCCTCATTGGATCAAGCATGCCTAACTTCCACTCCAGTTTGATGGTTTCTGAGATGGCCAATTTGCAGATTCTGCCACATGCAGAGCAGGTGATGATTGAAGGGTCGTGTAGAGGAGTTATTTGGTTGTGTGAGTATTTTTGTGCTCCCTCTGATGCCTCAAATTTACCTCTGTGGTCCTGAAGTCTCTCAATGTGTTCAGTGCATTCCTGAATGATCCTGTTCCATTTTTGTCAATGACAAGCCAGTGAATGCGATGAGTCAGTGACAGTGTTTGGCCTCTTCAGGGATACTTTGAGTACATTCCTAAAATCTTTCTACTGTCCTCCTGGAAGTCTTGTAGCTGTACCTATTTACTCTCTGTGACTCTATACAAAGATATCAAGTCCTTTTGAATACCAACATTTACACTTCTTCCACCTTGTAAAAAATATTCATTTCTTTTCTTCCTAACAAAATGGTTAATTTCATACATCTGCACACTATAATCCATCTGCCACCTTCTTGTTCAATCTCAACCGACCTATATCCTTTCGTAATATGTTTATGTCTTCCTTATGGCATAATTTCCTATCTTGTTTTGCATCTTTGTAAATTGGACGTATTATTAATTGGTCCCTTTATCTGAAACACCATTGTTAATTGTAAATTGCTGAGTCCCGATCTTTGATCCTTGTGACACTCCCCTAGAATCACTCATCATCCTGAAAATAGCTTCTACTCTGTTTTCTGCCCACTACCAAATTCTGAATCCATACTAATATATTACCAGCAACCCCATCAGCCCTAGTGGTACGTAGCAACCCATTGCATGGCACTTTCTTGAATGTCTTCTAAAGATCCATAGACATTTAGCCTATGAGTCAACTATTATCTGCCTGGATTGTTAAATTCTCAAAAATTCCTGAATGAATGTGTAAAATCATGTTGATTCCAGCAAAACAACAATGATTTTCCATGTGCCTGGTTACCAGGGCTAGTTCTTCAATTTGTTCCAGTGATGCTTCCAAACAACAGACAGAATACACTGTCTGAAATGTTGCAGCCTACCAGTCCTTCTGAAGAGCTCATTTAAAGCAATAGCTGTTCTTTTCAGCACATGGTGTGTCTGTAAAAGCATCTTCCTCAATGTTACTGCTCTATCCATGAAAAACTTTAAATAAATTGCAGTGATTCAAGAATGCTTACCATTTTCTTAAGGGCAAGAAGGAACAGGCAATAAATGTTGATTTTAATAGTAACAGAAGTAATATTTGAAAAAGACTATTAAAACACAGTGTTGCATGGCAATGCTTATTATTTGTCAACAGTGCACAATGGTAACAGACACTGTGAGACCAGAAGAAATACAAGGAATGTACTAATCTCATGGGATGGATTAAAGAGTGAACATGACTTTGTTATAATTTGGAATTCACCATTGGCAGCAGTTACTAACACACACACATATATGTACAAGTACACAAGCAAACATCTACAGTGTTATGACTTATGACACAGGATTTTGGCACTTAGATGCACTTAAAGCTAGCATACAATTCCAGGAACTGTAGCACCATTGAGTAAACAGAATGATTTGCAGCAATTATCATTTGTGCCAAAGGACATCATAACTCATTAGTCCAGAGATCTCTTTTTTGCAGTTCTCACAATTATCAGGGGATGTTTGTGAAAGCAACTGCGCTGTTTCAACACAATATTTCCTCTAGGCTTGGAACTCCTACTCTGTATCGTCAAATAAATGGTATTGGTGGCGCATTTGATACTAATGCAACAGGCACATAAAAAATGCAGAATTACCATAGCTAGGAGCTATATACTGTCATATGCATAAGTGAAAAATCATTTAAGTGTATATTTATTTCTCTAAAAATCTTACAATTGATGCATGCTTCCATTATTTCTAGTGAAGCTATTCTGTCATGTATTAGCAATTTGAATCTCATTTCAATAATCCCAGTGAATTTGGCTTTGTCAACTACCACAACATCATTACAAGCTCTAGCTTAATGCCTGCAGCCTAGCAAAAAAAAGGCTATCATTGCAGGCAAAGCGCATTAATATGGTCATGTTCTGGCTTATGATGAATCCCTCTTTTCATATTCTTTGTGTTGCAGAGGCCCCACATTCTGTGAGAATGTAACATTCAGAGCACTCTCAAAGGATTGTTATTTTGACTGTTCCAAAGTATTATAGGCAATTGCACCTAGAAATAGAAATGGGGCTTGTTGCATTTTGTCATTCAGTACTGTTCAAGGATCAAGGTCGACAAAGTTGACAGGCAGAGGGACTGCTGGTCAGTGGGTACACGGGTGAAAGGGAGTGAGAACAAAATAGACTCCGTGCTAGCTAGTGTGGCTTTAAGGTGTACTGTTGGGAAAGCAACTAAACTTGAGGACTTAGGTGCAGCTAGATTTCAGGGAGAAATTCCAGGAGTTAATACACAGCTGGTGCTGGAGTCAAGGCTTTAGAAAAGCCCTAGGAGTTGAAAGAATAATTCAATACAGCAGACAATGGAGGGAGCAGTGAAAAGGCTACAAACAGATGAAGTAACTGAGGAAGATTAGAGTTTGGGGAAAAACCCCAGGGAAGTTTTAATTTTAACAGTAAAGCTAGTTGTTAGTGAAAAGCTGGAGCTGTGTCTGTGAATAAGTACTGGAGTACAGTTTTTGGAAGACTAGCCAAACATTGACCCAGAAAAAAGATGGTGACTGATCAGAATTGGGGCAGTTATTGATGCAGTCCATGACAGCATGGTACCTGAGAGAGAGTTCCAAGCCCAGATTAATAAAAGTAAAGAACTATAATCCTTTGTGAAGTTCAATGAAATTTGAAGACCTACCATGTTATCAGATGCCATGTCTATAGATTCTGGAATAAATCCTGTGGATTGAAATATATCAAATGTCACCACATTCTTTAAGAAGGGAAAGACAGCTGAAACAGCAGCTATAGATCCCTTAGCCTTACATCTGTAGTAGGGAAAATGCCATAATTTACTATAAAGGATGGAAAAATAGAGACCTGGTGAATAATGATTTATTTATTGATTGATTGTTGTCACATGTACTGAGATACAATGAAACGTGTTGTTTTGCATGCCATACAGGCAGATTGTACCATACAAAGTACATCAGGGTAGCAGAACAGAGTGCAGAATATAGTGTTACAGCCACACAGAAGGTGCAGAGACAGAGAGATCAGAATTAACATTTAAGAGGTCCATTCGAAAGTCTGATAACAGCAGGGAAGAAGCTATTCTCAAATCTGATAATAATGATCTGATTGGGCATAGTTAGCATGGATTTGTGAATAGAAAATTGTGTTTGATGAATGTATTGGAATTTTCTTTGAAGCTGTTACTAAGAAAATTGATAAGTCGATGGACATAGTACACTTCGAAAAAAAACCCGAAAGAACTGCAGATGCTGTAAATCAGGAACAGAAACAAAGTTGCTGATAAAGCTCAACAGTTCTGGCAGCATCTGTGAAGGAAGAAACAGAGTTAGCGTTTCGGGTCTGGTGACCCTTCCTCAGAACGCAGACCGTTCTGAGGAAGGGCCACCGGACCCGAAACGTTAATTCAGTTTTTTCCTTCACAGATGCTGCCAGATCTGCTGAGCTTTTCCAGCAACTTTGTTTTTGTTCATAGTATACTTAGATTTTGAGAAGGCTTTTGATAAAGTCCCCCACAGAAAGCTGGTTATAAAAGTAAAAGATCATTGGTAAGGAGGTAATCTTCTGGCATGGATTAACGATTGGCTAACAGACAGGAAACTGGAATCCTGTACCCAAGAGGGTATGGAAGCACAGTCTTTGAGTATGTTTAAGGTGGAGATTGATAAATTTCTGATCACCATGATTATTGATAAATTTCTGATTGTACATGATTATAGGAAGTGGGTGAGTAAAAGCATTGATCAGCTGGGACTGTAGTGAATGGCAGGGCAGGCTTGACAAAGTGAATGGACTATTCCTGCTTCCATGTTTCTAAAGTTTAGAGGAAACTGCTGCAAAATCTAAAACATTGGATCTATGTTTATCACATTTATTATTTGATATGTGCTGTAGGCTGTTTGATCACAATCTATTACCTGCGTTTAGCATATGTTAACACCCGGACAGTGGAATACAAGTTGTGTTTCTATTATAAATTGTATAACTATTCTAATGTTGAACAGTAAAGTTGATTGTCATCTCTTCAAAACCATGGAACATTGAGGCTTTACTTTCTTAGAAACTCCCCTAGATTTCAGACTTAGTCCACTTTAAGAAAAATGTTACTGGTCCCTAGCCAGAAATAACACAAATTTGTTGGTGTCATCCAGAATCTTTACACTCTCAACAGTGAGACCCATCTGGAAATGTTTCCAAATTGGCTCTGAATTCCTGGATTTCTCCATCTTCTACGCTTAGAAAAATAGACTACTACTGGGCAGCAAAGACAGAAGATGACTCTTAAGATTGCTGAGTGTAATTCACTCCAGCACGTTGTGCAAACTGAATTTAAAAAGTGTGTACAGTGTGTCAGTATATAAGGCAAATTGCTTTGAAAAAATTGCCATTGTTGTTATGAAGAAATGTGATCCAAATATTAATGTTTGAAAGATTGTGTGGACTGTATAAAATGTATTGAATTTTTAAACAAAGGACACTTTGCTAATATAAAGGCACTGGATAGAACAGCAACAAACTTGCACCTGCAAGAAGCAAGGAGCTCAGTTGGAGTCATACAGTCTGGAAAAATTTCAGAAAGCAATCACAAAGCTCAGTTTGAGAGTGGGATATAACTTCTGCATTTTTTTTAACACAGTGAATGAGAATTTGACATGCCTGAATAGCAACAATCCATTGCTCCCTCACAGTTCATTTGTAGCTTCTTGTGGGTTGAAAACCCAGAGACAGTCGTCTTTACCACTCAAGAGTACCTGAAGAGGATTTTCTTTGAATCAGCCCCACCAGCAAAGAGTATTCACCCACATACAACTTTCCAGGAAGGCACCCAGTACCAACTTGTGTGTGCAGGATAGCTTCAGGATCAGAATACTCTTTGGGACATCCATAACTTATCCTCTTTTTAAACATTAAGTTTAACTATTACTTGACCAAGTACTTTAAAGTTAACACCCTGCAAAATTTTCGTTGCTTTGTTTTACCCATCCTTGAATGTGTGAATTAATTATATTTTTAAAAAGGTATGCATGTAAGTATTTAAATAATCCAAAATAAACAAATAACTACAGATGGTGGAAATTTGATACTAAACCAGAAATTGAAGAAAGTTCTTCAAAGTGGGTCACTGGACTCGAAAATGGTAATTCTGCTTTCTCTCCACAGATGCTGCCAGAACTGTTGAGTTTCTCCAGACATTTCTGTTTATGTTTGAATGATCCAAACTCTGTATCAAAAAGTTTTGCAACTTTGAGTAAGTTTGTTTCTGGTAATAAACCAACTAAACCGCTCTGGTTACACTTAAAATTTGCTGTGACTAGAAAAGAAAACAGTGCAGCTCTCCAGTCTTGGTCAGAACACATATATTTGGGGCTCATCCAACACTGAACCTTTAGACAATGACGCATAATTGGAAGCTAGGCATTTATTTAAAAACGTGAAGGTTTCCTTTTCAGAATGTAAAAAGTCACACTAACTAAAATTTCGACTTTTAAAGCAAGTGTGCAGCAGATAGATTTTAATACTTTAAAGGCATTCTTCACTGATGAACTGAAAAGTATGGCTGGGCAGTTGAAGATAGAATGTCTATCAAAAACTAAGAAAAGAAATCCTAAAGCTAGTGCTCAACCATCAGGATGTTGCATTAGGAGAGCAAGAGGTAAGTGTAAAACTGAAAGCAGACAAATGGCAAAGATTCAGTTAGAACAGAAAAGGTTAGAACTAGAATTTCATAGAGAAGAGAGGTGAAAAGAAAACAGAAAAAGCATTTTAAAGATAAAAATAGGAGAGAGTGGGAAAGGAGACAGACTGAGAGTGAGAAAGTGCAACTTTAAAGAAAAAGAAGAGGACAAAGAAAGAGGGAGTGAGAAATTCCAATTTAAAAAGTCTGGAACTAAAATAGGTGAATGCCCTTGAATTCAGTGTAAGTTCTGATGGGTAAAGATCTGTCTGCAATTCAGGGCTAAGTATGGAGCTGTTTAAATTTGTCAAAGCCATCCCAAAGTTTGTAAAAGGATGTAGAGGTGTTATTCATTTTGTTTGAAAGAATAGCCCAACAAATGAGTTAGTCCATAGAAAGCTTGACACTGCTTATGTGGGGCAGGCTGACTGGCAAAGATCATGAAGTTAATGCCGTGCTTTCTGAGGAGGAGTCTGCAGATTGGGAGATGGCCAAAAGGGTGAAATTCACTGCCCAAGTTGCTCATTGAAGTTTACATTCAGAAATCTCAAAACTTCCAGAAGCAGCCTGGGTAGACCTACATTGAGTTTGGGACGGTAAGACAACTGACCTTTGATCACTGAATGTGGCAATTAAAGTAGACACCACCAAGGTTGTGATTCTCATTTAGGAATTAAAATTCTTTTGACATCCATAAGAACTCACACAGAGGACCAAAGGATTTCAACAGCAAGACAAGCAGCTAAAGTAGGTAATGATTATGCGCTCATCTACAAGCTTCTATCTGAAAGAAAACCGCACATATCTGAGAAAGATAGAGCTGGGAGGGGAAAAAATGAGGGCAAACAGTCAAGGGCAAGAAGAGACAACTGGGTATGAAGTAAGATCCACCACTCAGGTCAGAAGGAGGGTGCTGAGGGTTGGAATGATGCCTGAACACCTGGTTGCTTCCATTGCAACAAGATGGGATACCTTTGGGCTGATTGCTGGGTGTTGCAGGATGAGCCTGTACATGTTATTGGAGAACACTGTGTCCACCAGGGAAAGGGACCCTGACAGAGAGCACGGTAAAACTGTGGCTCTGACTGCATCTCTAAATTGAAGACTAATCTGGGTCTGGGGGAAGTGAAAAAGGTCATCAGAGTTACAGATGTAACACTCCAACCTTGGGTGTAACAATTAAGGATGGGATTCAGAGGTACAATTATAATCCCAGCTTGTCATGAATGGGGTATCTTATCCATCTCATGAGAACTATGACTCTAGCAGTCATAGGAGCGTATGTACAGGAGTAAGACAGTTAGTTTCTCAAGTCTGTTGTGACGTCCAGTTATGTCCAGGTGGATTTCCGATCCTTTTCCCCATCTTTGTACCACATCCCTGATTCATCACTCGACTTAATTCCATCGGTCTCATTCCTGATGGATCCAACTATCCTAGCATTCACAGCCTTTATGGGGACACAAGTTTCCCATTTCTTTCAGTGAAAAGGTGCTACTTGATATCATTCCTGAATGACCCACAGTAGTTATCTGTTTAAAATCGTGCCTCCTCATTTCAGATTCCCTCACCAGAGAAAATAATTTCTCTGTATCTTCAGTAATGAATTAGTGTAATCTTTTAGACGTTTCAATTAAATCACTCCTCAGTGTTTAAAATTTAAGTGAATACAATCTAGTTTTATACAGCCAGTCCTCATTTTGATAAGTTTCATATGCACCCAAAGCTAATATATCCTTAGGTCTATACCTACATCTGAAAACTAAACCTGAGGGCGTTGTAATATTATTTTGTTTCAATTAATTATTAGGCACCAGTACAATTCTATTCAGTGGCAAGGTGGGAACTTTGGATCTGTCATTAAGACAGTGGACATATGAATTTTCCACATGCACATTTATCCAGCAAATATTCACTCGAGGTATCCCAACTTCTTAAAAAGTATGTTATTTTCCAGTTCTGAGATGATATTATATTCAGTTTGTCCTGAATGGATATCAGCATCTTTTTCAATTCAAAGTCCAGCTTCATTGCTTTATTTCATTCTAATTACATTGTCTATACTGTAATGATGTTTTGGTCTAATGGTTCTTTTGATGGGAATGAAAACATAGTATCATA